GGTACCTCCAGGGGACAATTCCCACTGGACCTTTGCTGGTTTGCGTGGGTCTTTTTATTTATTTATTTTTATGTTTGATTGAAATCGAGAAGTTATTTCTAAATGTTTCCTTCAGTCTAGCCTGCCATTTTCTGGAGAGTTTTAGCTAGACAGCAAGCTTTTTTGGAGGTGTTTTTTGGTCCTCTCAGATTGGCATTTCCCTAGCATGTGACCTGGGCTATACTTACTGAAGCAAAAAAAACAACCAGAAGAGCGACCTCTGTATTGCTAAGGTATCAAAGATACCTAACCTGTTTGCCTTCTCTCTACTCTCCCAGTCTCTTTGTGTGTTTTTGTAGTATAAAATGTCTGGTTTTTAGCCGTACTTAGCAAGATGAATAGACAAAAGTACATTCACGACAAACTTCTGGAAGCTGAACTTAAAAAGCCAGCAGCAGTCATTTTTTAAATTTTTTATTTTGGACTGGGAGCTTGCACTAGATCAGGTCTCACATCTGACTTCATCACCACCATTGGGAGAATATTGTAAAAGTAGATTTTTAGACCTCAGCCCTGAGATTTTAAATTTGGCACACAGGCCTAGGCTTTTGGAAGTTTTAAAGTTCTCCAGATGATTTTGAAATACAGCACAGCCATCTACTAGCTTGGGAAAATTCATTTTAGCTCCCTCTGCTGTAGTCATGCTCGAGGGTACCCTGCTAATTAAGGATCGTACACCAGTGTGTGTGGTGAGATGTTTCCGCCTACCTTGATTTAGTAGGGTGTGGGTTTAGCAGCCACTGTATTTTGGGAAGACTCCCAGATGAATGGTTCTGTTGTCCACTTGGAGTTAAGAGTCACTGGACTATGTGATCACATGAGCATTTCATGAGAAAGGTTTTGCTTAACCCACACTCTCTGCTGTGGAGTTGATGTGACCCATGATGGCCCTGCAGGAAAGAGTTAGTTTCCACCTGTAAGTCTTTACAGAAGACGGCTGGCACGTCTTTCTCTTGCAGAGGAGCTGGGTGCTTGGAGTTGCTAACGTTGGTCAGCAGCCCAGTGCTTACCTATTGCACCACAAGGGCCCCGCATGTCTCCTAGTAGGAAAACTGGCCCTGCCCTTTCTGTTCAGAAACACTGGTAAAAATAGAGAACAAACAATTCGCACTGCTGTGCGGCTCTCCTTCCCCTGTGCTCCTTCCCTCCTTTGCTGGTCCAGAAAAGGGAAAGCAGAACTTCTCACTAGTTCAATACATCCCCGTTCCAGTGTCTTGGCATCAAACCACTGGGTTTACTTCCCGTGTTGCTTTTTTATAATCTAATCCTCAAGGCTCTTTCCATGATTTTATTAACTTTCCTAAAGCAGCAATTGAGCATCTACCATGTAGCAGGCATGGGGATGAAGGATGAGCAGCAGTTAGTTAACCAGGTAAAAGGAGACACATGATTAATGGTGGGGTGGGCAGGGGGATGTGATCAGATGAATCCAATGAAGTAATGTCATCAGGGGCCAGATTATGAGGGGCCTTGGATTGCAGTATGTCTTTGTAACTTTACTTTTGCTTTAAGACACTGCAAGTCTCCGAGTGTCCAAGTATCTCTAGCTAAATTTTGTTAGATCTGTAAGAGACATTGTGACTTCCAAAATGAATATTCTAAAAACAGTGAACCCTTTTTCTATATTGTCTGAATCTGCTGATAACCAAACTTACTGTCTCAAATTTAGACACTTAATTGATAAATAATAGATGCCTACAGATCTCTGAATTTATTAAGTAGGTGGGATAACTGGGTTTAAGAGCTATCAGTTCAAAAATGATATCAAAGGAAAAAGCTTTGATTTTAATTTTTAAAATGAGTTTTACAATTAACATTTCTCTTTTTCCTTCCTTTATTTTTCTTTAAGTCTTGCGAAAATGCCATTGTATGCTGGAAACCTGGCAAAATGGAAGATGATATAGATAAAATTAAACCCAGTGAATCTAATGTGACTATTCTTGGGCGATTTGATTACAGCCAGTGTGACATCTGGTACATGAGATTTTCTATGGATTTCTGGCAAAAGGTAGCAACATGTTTAAAATTACTTGTCTTGGGAAAGTCCCCTGCGATGTTTTTTTTTTTTTTAATATACTATTTTCACTTTACCTTAGCGTTATCTGTTGCTTACCCTGCTGCCCTGTGATGTTATTCTACCTTGTGGCTTATCTGTAAGACAAGATTGGCAATTAGTGTCAGAGTTCACTCTCTATAGCACCTTTTGTTCAGACATAATGGTTCACTTATATGGGTTCAAATTGACAAGAGCTACTCAGAAGATTAGATTGTAAACAAAAGGTGCAATGAATTTGTGTTATGGAGAGGGAGGACAAGAATGGTTGTACAGTTTAAGATGAATACTGGATTACACTTACAGAAACTTGAATTTGCTGTGTATCATGATTGGTACAGTAGAGGAGCAGTAAAGGAAAGGAAGACTGGGAGATGTGCTCAAGCACAGAAAGAATTGTGAGGGTGCAACTAGATCTGGCAGTATATCATTCGTTGTGCATAGATTGCTATGGGTCAGAACCAAATCAGCGGCACTAGGGAGAACAACATGCTGTGTACAGTCGCAACAACAATAAAATAGAATTTAAAAAAAAGAATATTTCAGTGATTAGCATGTAAACCTTATTGTGTAAGTTTTTTCTTAGAAAAATAGGAAATAGTGATAGATGATAAATACTAGCTTTCTAAAATTATAAACAAATGTCGTGCTATGAGATTTCGATGACCAATCAGCTGGGTATTTATTTTTTTCTTTTTAAAATCATTTTACTGGGGGCCTATACAATTCTTATCACAATCCATACATACATCTATTGTGTCAAGCACATTTGTACATGTGTTGCCATCATCATTCTTAAAACATTTTCTTTCTACTTGAGCCCTTGGTATCAGCACTCATTTTTCCCCTCCCTCCCCTATCCCCCCCTCTCAAGAACCCTTGATAATTTATAAATTATTATTTTGTCGTGTTTTACACTGTCTGACGTCTCCCTTCTGGGTATTTATTTTTTCAAGAAATACTAGTATGTAAGAACTTTGCAATTTTTTGCAACAACAATGGTTTAGATGGGAGAGCACCCTACTAACACTGTGTGTTTTCAAGTCCTTCATAAATGTGAAAATGCCTTCTCATTTATGTAAGACACCTCTGTGAAGGACAGTCATGAGTCTTAATGTCCCCCTGCGCAATGGCTAACCACATAAACTTCCATGGTCCTAACCACTGTAAAACCTAGTGTATTAAAACCCCAGGTACATACAATGGAAATGGGCATGCATTTGAAATGCATATCAAAACATTATTATTGTATTAATAGAAAGATAATCTTATATACTGTCTGCTAAGACAAACATTTGACTGACTTATTTTATGAAATATACCTAACTGTTCATTCAGATTTACATACAAATTCAACTTGACTTTAGGAACAGAACTTGTTGGTAATCCAGGGATTGCCTATAGATGATATACTATTGTCTATATATAATGATATTCCTACAATGCCCAAATAACAACGTTCAACTCACAGAATGCATCATGGGCATTAATTAACGGGCGACTATATGTTACTATTACTCCTGCTTATATATTGGGAATATTAACTACACAAAGACAGATTACAGCCAGAGTCAGAAGTAAGAGTTTTCCAAAATAAATATGCCTTCAGATTGCTTGGCTGCTTTGTAGTTTGGTGTTTTGGTTAACTTGTTATCTTTTAAATATGTTCCCACAGATGCTTGCATTGGGCAATCAGGTTGGCAAACTGTATGTTTGGGATTTAGAAGTAGAAGATCCTCATAAAGCCAAGTAAGTATTTAAACTTTATGTGAGGAGTGGTTTCTGCCTCTTTTTTTTTTTTTGGTCTTTATACAGGAAACACTGTCTACATAGAAGTTAAATCTTATTTTTTTTAATCTCAAACTAATTAATTTTTACAGGCAGTCAGTGATGTTATTTCTCTTTTGAAATAAATTAAGGTGCCTCTTAAACTTACAGTGAGAGAACTTCAAAAAGAACTTGGAAGATTAAAGTAGAAGATAGTAAAAATTTCCCATTATCCATAAATCCAAATTTATTAAATTAAAATTGAGATTTGTATTTTGCTTTCCAATGCTTTCTTTTGACTTTTGATATGATTTCAATTTTTCATGTACTGTTTGAAGTAAGCACCCAGAGATATTTAACCTGTTGGCTTTTTCCCTCTAGGTGCACAACACTGACTCATACTAAATGTACGACTGCTATTCGGCAAACCAGTTTTAGCAGGGACAGCAGTATTCTCATAGCTGTTTGTGATGATGCCAGTATTTGGCGCTGGGATCGACTTCGATAAATTAACGTTTTTCCTAATCAGAATTAGAGTGTTGTCTGTACACAATTGAATCTTGTATCTTGCTAGTAGGGCCACATATAGAGCATTTAGAGTTGTCTTTCAGCATTCAATCAGGCTGAGCTGAATGTAGTGATGTTTACATTGTTTACATTCTTTGTACTGTCTTCCTGCTCAAACTCTACAGCTTTTAATAAAATTTATTTTTATAAAGTTGTGTGTTGTTTTGGTTTATTTCCATCTTAACAGGTTGAAAATTATAAAATGTTGACATACTTTTTTGTACTGACCTTTTAAAAATTGTTTTCTAGTGCTCCTAAAGCTATAGTGGTTAAACGTGGCCTGTAGAACTGAGTTCACTTTAAATCTTGGATCTACTGAGGACTGTGTGATCTTGGAAAAGTGACAACATCTCTGCCTTAATTTCCTCACGTATCTTCCAAAGGTAATCATACCTATTTCATGAACGGAGTCCTGTTGGCTCCAAGTGATTAAGCACTAGGCTACAGGCTGAAAGATCAGTAGTTTGAACTCACCAGCCTTCCGTAGGAGGAAGATTACAGCCTTGGCAACCCTATAGGACAGTCCTGCTGTTCATTGAGATTAAACTGTTAAGTTTTTCAAGGCCTTTAGAATATTGCTTGTCGATGTAGACGACTTGGCACTTTCCATCTCACTGAACGTATTATGGATCCACTGGAATTCTGTATTTATGGGGAATCATTTGAGTAGAGCAGCAAGAAATAGTAGCATACACACATTGCACATAGCTGTTCAAACGTGTTCTACTGCCGCATCAGACCTCACTGACAAATCTCAAATTCATTAAGGAAAGTGCAGGGCCTTCCTACGCACAGTGCTCTATAGTACTGCGGGGGTTAAATGTCCAAGAAGCTGACCCTGCTTGGGGAGGCTTGAGGTTTTGTGCCTCCCCTTTCCTGGCAGCTCCATCTGGTATTGACGTTTCTGTTGGCAGGTTCTTACTTCCTTTGTAGGCATTTTACAGTTCCAGTTCGATGTCTCTTTCCAGCTTTCTCTTGGTGTCTTTGGTCAGGTGAGTAAAATAAGTAGAATGACCCTGACCTTCCACTCTATGACCCACTCCACTCCCCCCACAAAAAAACCAATTCAGTGCTTTAACCATAGGAATTAGAGGAGAAGCTGGGGGTACCGTATTGGTCTCTATTGGGAGGCGATCTGGAGAAATCAGAGGCAGAATAGATGTAGCTAGCGGTTAGAGACTTTTCAACTACAATGAGGTCAGAACTTTTAGAAGAAAATGGCAATGGTTTAAGAAAGGACCAAGCTGCAACTTTGTACATGTCCTATGAAGTGGCAGCAAATGGATTCCAACTCATTGACCCCATGGGTTTTTATGCTTTTTTTTTTTTTTTAACATTAAGGAAGCAGATTACCAAGTCTTTTTTCCATTGAGTTACTGGGTAGGTTTGAACCTAAGTTCAAGTTTTTAAACAAATGACCGAGAAAAGCAGAAGTTTATTTAAAGCACTGGTCGTCACTTTGTCCAGAGCACTGAAAAATTAAAATCCCTTTTTTGAGGCAAAGGGATAATCATTCTAATTAATTACATCTACAGCTTAAATATTCACATCAATTTTTAAATTTTGCAAGGCAATCTTTTTAAAAAAATTATTTTATTGAGGGCCCGTACAATTCTTATCACAATCCATACATCCATCCATTGAGTCAAGCACATATGTACATTTGTTGCCCTCATAAATCTCAAAACATTTGCCCTCTACTTTAGCCCTTAATATCATTTGCTCATTTCCCCCCTCCCTTCCCCCTCCCTCATGAATCCTTCATAGTTCATAAAGTATTATAGTTTTGTCATAAGTTACACTGTCCGACGTCTCCCTTCGCCCTCTTTCCTGCTGTCCATCCCCCAGGGAGGAGGCTATACTTAGATTATTGTGATTGGTTCCCCCCTTCTGCCCCACAGTCCCTTCACCCTCCAGGCCTTGCCCCTCTCACCACTGGCCCTGAAGGAGTCATCTATCCTGGATTCCCTGTGTTTCAATTTGCTTTCTGTACCAATGTACATCCTCTGGTCTAGCCAGATTTGCAAGGCAGAATTGTGATCATAATATTGGGGGGGAGGAAGCATTTAAGAACTAGAGGAAAGTTATATGTTTCATTGTTGCTACCCTGCACCCTGATTAGCTCGTCTCCTCCCCAAAACCCCTCAGCAGGGGG